GAGCACAACCTAAATCAAAAGGACCAATGAATAGATTTGTCACTTTAGAAGCTCGGCTAAATACATTAAATTCAGCATACAAACAAGAAGAAAGAAAGGAAATTTGTCAAAAGATTGGTCGTTTTTTTCTTCTTCTAGAGCACTCCCATTTATATATTGTAAATGATCCATTTTGGCTACTTGTGGTGGAAGGGATTGTCGCATATAGTGTAGGATTTAAGCCTCCATTAATGCCTGAGCTGAGGACTTGGATCCTTAAAAAAGAAGTTTGGTGCATCACGTAGGGAAATATTGTTAGACGGCGACACTGAAGCTACAATGGCCTACATGAAAGCGAAAGCGTAAGTGGATCTTGAATTTTTTTGTAAGTTCAGTGTAGATGAGGAGAATAGGCTTGCTAACTTATTTTGGAGAGACTCTACTTCACTTTTGGATTATGTTGCATCTGAAGATGTCCTCATATTCGACAACACATACAAAACCAATATGTATGACAAGCCTCTAGTGTTATTTGTTGGTTCAAACAACCACCAGACGAGTGTTGGTTGTGCCCTATTGCTTGACGAGACCTTTGGAACATAAAAGTAGTTATTGGAGACATTCATATCCTCCATAAAAGGTAAGAAGCCTACATCAATACTGACGAATGGGGATGAGGCGATATGCACAAAGCAATTGAGTATGTGTTGCCCATGTGCAATCATACGTTGTGCTCATGGCATGTGGCAAGGAATGCACAGAATAACTTAAAGGATGAAGAATTGGTAAGATCATTTCAAGCACATTTTTGGGAACCAATTACAATCAATGAGTTTGAAAAGAAATGAGAGTTTTTAAAGGACAGAGTTATTACACATAAACAAAAGGAATGACTGCAAATGATGTATGCAAAATGAGATGCTTGGATGAAATCACGCCTTAGACCCAAGTTTTTCAGTGGTATGTGCACTACTCAATGCGTGGAGTGTATGAACAAGTTTGTGAAAAATTACTTGATGAAAGGCGTTAAGTTGTTTGAATGTATTCCAGCAATTGATAGGGTCATAGCACGAATAAGGAATACCTCGGGAAATGATGATTTTGACCAAAACAGTCAAAGAAAGTGCTTACAACAACACTGAAAAGTATTGAGCAACATGCTTCCCAAATTTACACTCATAGGTGCTTTTTATTGGTATGTAACGAGATCAATGTTTTGCCAGCACTCATTCATGAAAAAATAATTCATAATTTTGGAGGACGATTTTATATTTTAGCGAAATACGGTGAACCGCAAAATAATTGGAGTTGTGTGTACCTTAGTGGGCAAGATGCTCGAATAGAGTGCAACTGTCAGAAATATGAAAGCGAAGGCATCCCATGTTGCCATTTGTTTTATGTGATGAAGTGGGAGCATGTTATGAAAATTTCCTCGTCACTCATAATGAAGTGATGGACAAAAACTAGTCGAATGGACATTGAATATGCATTTATGTCAGAAAGTGGTAGCAAGGAGGTTGTACAAACCGTGAGATACGGAAATTTAAGTTGTATTGCCAACAAAGTGTGTTTGTATGCATCAAAGAGCAAAGATGAGTATAGTATTATTTATAAATTTTTCTTATTAAAATAAATTAATGTTCAAAAGGCTTACGCCTCAGTGCTTCAAGGCTTACACCTCGCATAACGCGACTAAAACGTCTCGCCTTTAAAAACATTGATACATTCCTATTATTTAAAAAACAACTATATTATATAAATATTATGTTAAGCCCAAACTAATTATGGTAAATATATAAATAAAAAAATAAATTTACCTAATCATTCAATTCAAAATTAAAAAGAAAAAAAATCCAATAAAGGCCCACGTATTGTAAAAAATAAAATAAAATCTTCCTTAATTACTCAATTCAAAATTAAAAAGAGGAAACTCAATAAAGACCCAATTATTTTTTAAAGTTATAACTTAAATCAATGAACCTAGTTGAATCAATAAGGAAATTGACAAAAGACATGGTAGAAAAACTTGATTATGTAAAGTTAATTGTTACTTTTAAATTGAAAAATGTAAGACGAGTGATGTTTTGATGCATGTTATAAAGTTGTTGTGTAAATTAGGTATTGATTGTTTCTTTTATGTTACAATTGTGAATTTTAGTTCATATAATACTTTTTAAATTTAACGAAAAAAAATCATATATATATATATATATATAAGAGGCCCCATTTAGGAGCCTACGACCTCCAAAACGCAAGACCGACACAACATGTTATGGGTTAACGAAAGACTTGACATACAACATAATGGAGGTATGAAAATGGTAGGTAACCCAAACAATGGGTATGAGGTTGACCAAAAAAAAAGTTGTAAAAGAAGAAACTCAGTAAATTTTTGGGTAATAAAGTGAAATTTACTTATTAATTAATTTTTGTAGTAGGCCTATAACCATGTTTTAGTTTCGGGTTAACTGGTGAAATACCCCCTGAACTTGTACCTATGTTTCAATTAGCACCCTACCCTTTTTATAAAAAAAATAGAAAATTAAGGATATGAACTTCTTTTTTTCGCCAATTTCTCCTTACCGTCTAAATCATCAACATTTCATTCAATTTGTTGTTAAATATGAGGGCAAATTGGTCATTTCCATATGAAAATAAAAAATAATAATTTGAAATTTGAAATAATAATAATAATAATAATAGAAATAAAGTTTATAAAAATAAAAATAAAAACCTCACCTACCATATCACTCTGTCTCTCCCACTCTCTACAATTCTTTCTTCCCCAATTCAACCACAACCATAGGCACAAACGCAGCAAAACCTCGAAAACCAACCCTAAGACGACGCCGTTCCCAACGACAAACGCAAGCGATCGTCCCCCCTCTATGGAAGACCAGCCTCTGCTCCTATTTCAGGCGCGAGTCCACTTCTGCTTGAGGAGGAGGACGACACGAATGGAAGACCAGCCTCTACTCCTACGTGGGACCCGACCTCAGAGCGCATGAAGAAGCAACAGTTGGAGGAGGAGGAGGGTGCGAATGGGTTTGGGTCTATGGGTGGGGATAAGGTTTTCTTTTTGGTTTTTTGGATGTAGGGGTGGGTTGCAGTGGGGAAGGGGGTGGATCATCGGCTGCTGTGATGACATTGGATTGGTTGAGTTGAGGGATGAGGAGGAGTTGTTCTGTGTCAGTGAGATGAGTGGTTGGTTGTGGTGATTGGGTGTGTAGAGTAAATTTTTTAAGGAGAGAGAGAGAGAGAGAGAGAGAGAGAGAGAGAGAGAGAGAGAGAGAGAGAGACTGTGTGTGTGTGTGTGGTGGCTGTAGGAGGGTGGGCTGCTAAGAGGGGAGGTGGCGGTGGGGAAGGGGATGGCCTTGGGTTTAGGGCTGGGTAAGAGGTTTGGTGATGCAATAGTGGGGAGAGGTGTGGTGGCGATGTTGGAGAAGAAAGGTGATGGTTGTTGGGAGGGGTTTTTATTTATTTATTTAATTTTTTTTTCTCTTTTCTTTAATTTTTTCTAAAAAAAATATTTATTTTTAATGATTTAACAAAAAATTGGATGAAATATTGATGATTTAGACGGCAGAGGGGGAAATTGGCGAAAAAAAAATGTTCATATTCTTAAGTTTTTTTTATAAAAAAGATAGGGGGCTAATTGAAACCTAAATGCAAGTTCATGGGGTATTTCACTAGTTAATGTTTGGTACGCTTCACTGGATTGGACTGGACTGGACTGGACTAAATAGCACTCGAAACCCATGTTTGGTAACAGACGGGACTAACTTAAATGAGACTATATAGTCCAATAGTGAAAAAAAGGCCTCACTCGCCCGTCTAATATAGTGAGCCCGAAAAGTGGTTCACTAAATAGCACGTTCCTAAATAGAACACGCTAGTCCGACTCCTCTCTTTAAAAAATGTTAGGATTTTATTTGTTTTCTTTTTATTATTGTTTTAAATTTTTAATTGGGATTTTTAACATTTATTTATTTATTAGGTCAAAATCCGTAATTAAATTTAAATATTACAAGAATTATTTTGATATTGCATTTGACCACATTTGTATTTGGAAAATCAAACTATAATAATTGACAAATGCTTGATATTCTTTTTATATTGAAACAAGTTTAATAATTCATGATGTGCTGCTTTCTTTATCGCAAGCAATTATTACCTTGTTAAATTATATTTTTCAGTTTAAAGTCAAAAGTCAAATATACAAAAATTATACACA